AAAAAAAAAAAAAAAAAAAAAAAAAAAAAAAAAAAAAAACAGTGTTTTTGTCTGTGCACCATGTGTATGCCTAGTGCCCTTGGAGGCCACAAGAGGGTAATGGATCCCATGGAACTGATTGCTGGGAAATGAACTTGATCCTTTCAAAGAGCAGTCAGTACCTTAACCACTGAGCCACCTCTCCAGTTCCTTTCCTTTTCTTTCTTTTTCATGTAGCCCTAGCTGTCTTGGAACTCACTTTGTAGACCAGGCTGGCCTTGTACTAGTAGAGACCCTCCTGCCTCAGCCTCCTGAGTGCTGGGACGAGAGGTCCCTTTCTTTCTTTGATAGAGATTATCATTTACCATATGGGATAATCTACCTACACCTTTACGTTGCTTTTTTGCCTATTTCCCCCCAAAGAACGTAAGCTCTAGGAAGACAAGAATCATTGTTAGCAAATCCCAAGAGTTAAGAACAGAGCTTGACATGTCTTAGGCAGCCAAATATTTATTGATCAAGTAAGTGAATTACTAGAGACAAACTCTACAAATGAAGGATGGGCTGTAGCTCAGTAGGACTCCGCTGACGTAAAGCACTGGCAGTAAGAAGTCAAGATCACAGGCAGAAAATGAAGCGCCAATTGCCAAGGAGACTACTGCAAAGAACTGATTAATGGTTGCGCCTGTTTGGCAAGGTGTACACTTCTGGAGATGTGTGGTGGTGAGGGTTGCCCAACGTATAAACGTGCTTCTTACTGTACTGTGCACTTGTGTGTGTGTGTGTGTGTGTGAGAGAGAGAGAGAGAAAGAGAGAGAGAGAGAGAGAGAGAGAGAGAGAGAGAGAGAGAGAGAGAGGTGCTGGCTCTCCCCTTCCACCTTTAGATGGATGCTGGATGAGCCATCATGCTTACCTAAAAACTACACCTAGGAATGACCGATTTGAAAAAGCTAATCAGGTCCAGTGGTGGCGGCTCACGCCTTTAATTCCAGCACTCAACAGGCAGAGACAGACAGATCTCTATGAGTTAGAGGCCAGCCTAGTCTAGAAAGCAAGTTCCATGACACGCTCCAAAGCTACACAGAGAAACCCTGTCTCAAAAATTCAAAGAAATAGTTAAGCAGCACATTCTAGAGAACAGGCTTTCATGAAACTTTTTTGGTTTTCTTTTCTTCCCTCACCCCCCCCCCCCAGAGGGTTTCTCCGTAGCTTTGGAGCCTGTCCTGGAACTAGCTCTTGTAGACCAGGGTGGCCTCAAACTCAGACATCCACCCACCTCTGCCTCCTGAGTACTGGGATTAAAGGGGTGGGCCACCACGTTCTGGCTGTTTTTTGGTTTTTCTTAAGACAGGTTCTCCACATTGGCACAGGGAACCACTTCTTAAATATAACCTCAGAAGCACAGACACTGAGTGAAACAATTAATAAATGGGACTTCCTGAAACTGAAAAGCCTACAGAATGGGAAAAGATCTTCACCTACCCCACATCAGACAGAGGTCTGATCTCCAAAATACAAAGAACTCAAGAAATTGGACACCAAAAGAACACATAATCCAATTAAAAAAAATGGAGTACAGACCTAAACAGAGAACTCTCAAGAGAGGAATCTAAAATGGCTGAAAGACACTTAAGGAAATGTTCAACATCCTTAGTCAACAGAGAAATGCAAATCAAAACAACTCTGAGATTCCATCTTATGCCTGTAAGAATGGCCAAGATCAAAAACACTGATGACAACTTATGCTGGAGAGGTTGTGGGGTAAAGGGAACACTTCTGCATTGCTGGTGGGAGTGAAAGCTGTTACAACCCCTTTAGATGTCAGTGTGGCGATTTCTCAGAAAATTAGGAAATAACCTTCCTCAAGACCCAGTAATACCACATTTGGGTATATATCCAAAGGATGCTCAATTGTGCCACAAGGACATGTGCTCAACTATGTTCATATTCATAGCAGCTTTGTTTGTCATAGCCAGAACCTGGAAACAACCTAAATGCCCCTCGATCGAAGAATGGATAAGAAAAATGTGGTAAATTTACACATTTACACAGCAGAAAAAAATAACAGCTTGAATTTTGCAGGAAAATGGATGGAGATAGAAAACATCATTTTGAGTGAGGTAACCCAGACACAGAAAGACAATTATCACATGTACTCAACTCACAGGTGGTTTTTAAACATAAAGCAAAGAAAGCCAGCCTACAAACCACAATCCCAGAGAACCTAGACAACAATGAGGACCCTAAGAGAGACTTACATAGATCTAATCTACACGGGAAGAAGAAAGTAAACCAGACAAGATCTCCTGAGTAAATTGGGAGCATGGGGACCTTGAAGGAGGATTGAAGGGGGGAGGGGAGAGGCAGGGAGGGGAGCAAAGAAAAATGTAGAGCTCAATAAATATTAATAATTAAAAAAAAAGACAGATTCTCACTGTACCCCTGGCTGTCCTGGAACTTGCTTTGTAGACTAGCAGGTTGGCCTTGAACTCAAGACTTCAGCTGAATTGCCTCTGCCTCCCAAGTGCTGGGACTAAAGGTTTGTGCCATCATGCCTGGCAAGGCATTCTAAATATAGAGGTCTCATGTCTAAAGCATATTTCTGCAAAGGAGGAAGTGTTTCTGTCCGCAGGCATGTCTGCTTGGCATTCAAAAGCCAATACTTAGACGACCATTTCCCATTATGGGAACTCATGTACAGACAGACATTCACAGGAAGGAGGGAAAAGAATTGCACAGGCGATGGGACAGCATCACAGTCATTAGTGTCTTTTATCCAGGCAAAGTATCATCTCATCTGCCCCGCCCCGTCCCCCCCCCCCCCCCCCCCCCCCCCCACCATTGTCTACTACACACACACACACACACACGCGCGCGCACGCGCACACGCGCACACACACACACACACACACACACACACACACACGCGCCTACTTTCCCGAAAATTAAACACCGTAGGAATTGTGAGTTTCGTGTTAGTGAACACACAGGACTATGTAGTAAGGAGTGGAGTTACACAGTCTGATGTTGTGTTCTGGGTTGTGTAAATCTACAGAAAGAGCCGGTTTTAGTTTTTGTCAGGTGAAGGCGAAAGAAGGCAAATTAAAGCTAAGCACAGCTTTCAAAGAAACAACCACTGTTGACAAGATTGCCTTTAGAGATCGCTTTCTCAAAGTCCGCATTGAAGTGCTCTGGAATCTGAGCAGTCAGATCAGTAGGTGTCTCACACGGCGCTGCTTACGCAACTCACATAGGAACTTTAAGCAAGTTCTTGAAGATTTCGTGTGCTTCTGAGAAAGCCAGATAAGTTGAAATACTAATTTCAGGCAGTCACCTACCGTGTAAAGCTTTCGTGTATTTCTATTTCTCATGAACAAGAACACCAAATTCCTATTTAAAGCTTACACAGAAAACATGATCAACTTCAAATGTACGAGCGACGATGTCCCTAAATAAATCTCGTAGGTCAGCAAATCTGGCCGTCTGACTAGTGGTCAGTGTTTTCCGTGTCGTTGCGATAAAGGAGGGGGTGGGTGGTTTCCGAGCCAGTGGCTCAGCTGGTCCCCAGGAGTGGGTGAAAAAGTTCTCATCTCCTGAACCGCCTCTTCCTGGTCGCGACGTGTGAGCTCACGTGGGTCCCTCCGCCTGCTCGCGGAGGTACAGGCCGGCTGCGTTCCCGCCAGATATTTGAGTTTCGGTTTCCAGCAGTTACCGAGAGTTCTCCTTCCTGCGGTCTTTCCCCGAAGTCGATTCTTCCCTTCCAGAGTTGAGAGCCACAGCTATGGAAGGTCGGTGCGAAAGGCCACCGGCGTCGCGCGCTAAGAAGCCGGCTGCGAAGCGCACCACGACGGAGCACAACGGGACCGTGGCCGCCCGGTCCCACGCCGGAAGCAGCGGTCCGCGAAGGGGGGCGCGATCGCGGGGCGCGGAGCCTGACGGGGACCCCACGGAGAAGCCAGCCACCCGAGCGCGACCGGGACAGGCGTCCATGCGCATCACGGACCTACGGTCCTCGGCCACCGGCGCCGCAGGAGTCGCCAAACAGCCCGCCTCCCCGGAGCTCCAGCCTCCCGCCATCCAGCCTCCCGCCTCCCCGGAGCTCCAGCCTCCCGCCATCCAGCCTCCCGCCATTCAGTCTCCCGCCTCCCCGGAGCTCCAGCCTCCCGCGCACCCCGAGGCTCCTGAGGTCGCAAGCGGTCCTAGAGGCAGGAGAGGCGCGCGCTCCGTTGGGCAGCAGAGAGCGCCTCGGGCGTCCAGGAAGGCGCTAAAAGAGACCCCCGAGGGAAAACTCAAGAATGTGCTGGAAAAATTGAAGTTGAAACGCGAGAAGATCTCGAAGGCGGCCGACGTAGTGAATAATATCGTGAAGCGCCTGCTGTCCAGAATGAAGAACCGTGAGTCAGAGTTCAAAGACGTGCAGCAGCTGAACACTGGCAGCTACTATGAGCGTGTGAAGGTGAGCTGCCGGGATCTGCTTTGCTGGAGGGGCTCCAGGCCCACTCCGCCACACTTCCCTCATCTGCTTGGGGTTCCCCACACCCTTAGGCTCACCCACTTCCCTTCTAGAACAGCCCATGCTTCTCTTTCTCTCTCTCTTAAATTCATTCAGTTATCATACAGACCAATATGGATAACTAGTTTCTCCTAACACTCGCTTTGGAGGAACTCGGCTCCTCCTGAGTTCAGGTAGAGAGGCTATGTGATTGAAAGCAATCACACTGGAAGGTCTGCACCCAGTGCGGATGATGACCATGCTATGGCTGAGTGGATGGAGTCACTTTACTACTTTATGGCAGGGTCTCAGGTACCCCAGGCTGGCCTCTAAAGCATTGTCTAGCCAAGGATGAGCCTACTGACTTGCCTCCCTAGTGCTGGAAATACACCATCATCACGCCTAGTTTATACAGTGCTGGGCATGGAACCCAGGCCTTCCTGCACGCTGAGCAAAACCGTCTCCCAGAGCTCTCTCCCTAGCTCTCGGTGGTATTTAATTTGGAAAAGTGTTCATTATGATTGTTGTTGAGAACATGAAACAGAGTTTTATTGCTTGTTTTGGTTTTAGATGGGATTTTACTGTGTAGCCCAGGCTGGTCTCTCAAACTTTTGATTCTCTTACCTCAGTTTTCGAAGGGCCAGGATTATAGGTGTGTGTCACCTCAATGCACAATTCTGTGACCAGTGGCAGGAGGGTGGCTGCAATGTGTATTTTGTGATATAAAAGTAATGTCACACTGGGTGGTGGTGCACACCTGTAATCCCAGCACTATGGAGGCAGAGGCAGGTGGATCTCAGTGAGTTTGAGGACAGCTTGGTCTACAGAGCGAGTTATAGGACAGAGTCCAAACTACACAGAGAAACCCTGTCTTCAAAACCTAAAAAAAAAAAAGGTAACCACAAAGGCTTTAATTTCATTAAAAAATATTTTTGGTGACTTTGTGTTTTGAGATAGAATCTTACTATAGCCCTGCCTGAATGAAATTCACTAGGTAGACTGGGGTGGTGTCAATTCAACAGAGATCCAGAGATCTACCTGTTTTTGCCTCCTGAATGCTGGGATTAACCCCTATTCCTAGGGTTTTGATATGTAAATTTTATGTCTTTTTGTTTGTTTTCTGTGTTGGAACAGTTTGCCAGAGAAGCAGTCCAAGACTAGAGTTCATTTTGTGGAAAGGCTTTTATTTAGAGAAATTACTTATATGCTATTTATGTATATATGTGAGTTTATATGTACCCTGTGTACAGGGACCCGTGCAGGCCAGGAGAAAGTGTCATGGTACTTGGCACTGCAGTTACAGGTGGCTGTGAGCTGCCTGATGTGGATGCTAGGAACCAAACTTGAGTTTAAACCTAGCCTAGGCTATGCCCATGTGTTCCAGGACAGTCTGGGCTACAGAGTAAGACCCTATTTTAAAACAAATGAAACAAACAGTATTGCTTGTGCTTAAAAAAATTGAGAGAATCTATAATCTAAAACCGATAGTGTGGTGTACAGTAATAGGGACTATCTGTTCTCAGGTGTGGTGGTCCTATTCCAAGAAGGGATACATATTGTGGATCTTGCCTTTCTTCCTTCCTTCCTTCCTTCCTTCCTTCCTTCCTTCCTTCCTTCCTTCCTTCCTTCCTTCCTTCCTTCCCCCCCCCTCTCTCTCCCTCCCCCCCCCCCACTACAGACAGGGTTTCTATGTAGTCCTGGCTGTCCGAGACCTCATAAAGATCCACCTGCCTCTGCCTCCCGCGAGCTGGGATGAAATGGGTGCATCCCCAAGTGCTGGACTGAAATTTGTGTACCACCAAGGCTAGGTGGGATCTTGCTTTTTGATTGCTTTTTCACATGCAGAGTCTCAAGTGAAATTTCCACCAAGAATTCCAATTGTTTGGAAATATTTTACAAGAAAATATTTTAATGTTTCCTATCCCTTAGATTTCTGCTCCTAATGAATTTGATGTCATGTTTAAGCTGGAAGTTCCCAGAATCCTGCTGGAGGAGTATCGTAACACTGGTGCTTTTTATCTTGTGAAGTTCAAAAGAATTCCAAGAGGAAATCCTCTGAGTCACTTTTTAGAAGGGGAAATATTATCAGCTTCCAAGATGTTGTCAAAGTTTAGGGAAATCATCAAAGAAGAAGTTAAAGAAATCAAAGGTGAGATTTTTGGTTTGGTTTCTTGCAGACTAGATGCTGTTTTACTCACATACCTTCCTCTCCTGATCTCCTCTGATGGCCTCTCCCTCTTCCACGCACCCAGGAGTGTATCTCTCTGTCTCTCTTCTCAACCTCTCTTTCCCTCTCCCCGCTCTATGGGCATGCCAAAAGTCTTTTCTTGGAGCAGTGTACTGCCACCTTCCAAAGCTCCCTGAACCAACCACCCTACTGGCTCCACATGAACACTGAGCACTCCTGCTATCTGTTCATCCATCTGTCCATCTGTCTTCAGAAACAGGATCTCACTAAGGAACCCTGGCTGACCTGTGTAGTACCCGCTCACTATGTAAACCAGGTCGGCCTTGTCCCTTGAATGCTATCATTAAAACTTTACACCAACACTCTCAGCAAGCTCATGCTGAGCTCCCCTTTGCTTAGTCTTTCTTCCTCCTGCTTGTTTTGTTTTGGGAAATAGAAATGTCCACCATTTTATAGGACAGATTCCTGCAATCACATCAAAGGCATCTGCCTTCCTTCCTTAGCTCACAGACTTGGTGCTCTCTTGATTTGAGAATATATGTTTGTCTATTTAGAGAAGAGGTATTATTAAACAACGCAGGCTGGCCTTGAAAACATTTTTTGGGGGGGGGAATACAAGGGGTTGAACTCAAGATCTTGTGCATACTGGGAAGCACTAAGCACTATCACTGGGCCTTAGTTTGAATCTCGGTAATTGCTCTCACTTCTGCCGTTTCTCGATACTCACTGTCTCTCCGCTGGACTGTAGCTGTGGTCTGCTCTACTACCCTCTTTCCTGTTGCTATGTGGCTTCTCTCTAAATACCACTTAAAATTCTAAATGAAAATTAATTACAGCACTCCCAAATCCAAAGTCTTTAGAAATGCTTCACCACAGGTCCTGGATAGAATCCTGACAGTGTCTCCAGATAGCTATTGGTTACATGCTAAAACACTATGCCTCCTGGGGTGTAGTTGTATATTGAAGTTGATGTTAATTGGAGCTTGGGCTATGGATTTTAAATTACAGTTTTGTAACTTTCCCATATTTCCAGAGAAAATTGATCAACCCTTTCTTTCTTCAATGTGTGAACAGATAGCGATGTCTGCGTGGAGGAGGAAAAACCAGGAAGCCCTGCTGTAACGCTTCTGATCAGAAACCCAGAAGAAATATCTGTGGATATAATTCTGGCTTTGGAATCAAAAAGCAGCTGGCCTATTAGCACCAAAGAAGGACTACCCATCAAAAACTGGCTTGGCACAAAAATGAGGACCAGTTTCAGACAAAAGCCATTTTATCTTGTGCCCAAGGATGCCAAAGTTGACAATAGTTTTCAAGGTTTGTTAAATGTAAAAATCATTGGGAAGAATATAAAAGGATCATTAGTGTTGCATACAAAGGCAGCACAAGATCAACAGTCCACGGTGTGCGGGTATTTCCAGAGCCATGAGACTAAATAGATCACAAAATGAGCATGGCTAGCTAGGATTGAGAAATGTATGGAGGGGAGCAGCAGAGGCAAGAGATGGAGGAACAGGAGATTCAGGTCATCTCAGCTACATAGTGAATACTAAATTGTGTTCCTTTTTAAGCAAAGACAGTGCTGCTTGGACTCACACTGTTGTGGTTCTGAATCTCAAGGCTTTCCCTTGACCAGCTCTGTGATTTTGTGTTAGTTTCAGAGCCTCTATAAACCTGCTTAGCAGCTCATCTCTGCAAATCAAAGCGTCTTGAAAGATTCTGGGGGAGTTAAACCACCAGAAAAGCAAAATATTAATGACATGAACTTAGCACAATAAAAGAGATAATATATCTGATCTCGGCCAAGTATATTAAGTTTTGAATTCTGAATTTTCCTCAAACCCACTTTTGGTGTATAATATTTATTTTAATAATTACTTTGAGTATCTATTCACTTCTTTTGGTCTGTCTTCCTCTTAAATGTCTTCAGAATGATATTTTACTGTATGATTTAAATGTAAATATTGTATTATTTACATGTGGCTTCTTTTAGTAAAATAGCTGTTTTTCTTTCTGAAATTAAAGGCAAGACATGGCGCCTCTCTTTCTCTCACATTGAAAAAGACATTTTGAAAAATCACGGGACAGAGAAAACATGTTGTGAGGTTGGTGGAGTGAAATGTTGCAGGTAATGTCCTTTATTTAAACGGAATATTGCCTATGGTGTTAACATTTAATGCTCTCTTGGCGCCGTAGCCTAGATGTGAGGATGATTATTGCTGGCCTGGGTTGGGAGAAGGCGGTGCTGGGATGAGACCAAGGGGGAAGGAGCAATGGAGGAACGGAAGGAAACAGAGGAGGTATGTTGTTGACTGAGGTTTCTGCCCTGCCTGGTTCCTGTAGTCGTTCAGTCCCAAAGAAATCACACAGAGGTCTACATTAATCATAAGCTGGTTGTCCTATTAGCTCAGGCTTCTTATTAACTCTTATAATTTTATTACCCCATAATTCTTGTCTGTGTTAGCTATGTGGCTTGGTACTGTTTTCAATGAGGCAGTCACATCTTGCTTCCTCTGTGTCTGGATGACAACTCCAGACTGAACCTTCCCTCTTCCCAGAATTCTCCTGTTCTCATGGCCCCGCCTATACTTCCTGCCTGACTACTGGTCAATCAGCATTTTATTAAAAATAATACAAGTGGCAGGCCCTCACACCCCTCCCCTTATTTAAACAAGAACTCTGAATTGAATCTCCTTTGCTTAGCTTTTCTACTGGCCATTATCCATAATAACTTGTAACTAACATTCTAAACAAAGGCAAACATCCATAATCCATTTTTTTGGGGAATGTGGGCATAGTTTTCCAGGATACTTCCTGCTGATTGGGGGTGCTGATAATCTTATGGGGGACCTAAAGAAAATTTAGAATTATGATCAAGTCCTGACTGGAGTATCCTGTGAGGCTTGATCATCTCAGGCAGAGTCTTTGAACTATTCTGGATGCAGAACTCAGACTTCTGGGCCATTCCTCCTATAGGAGATTTCTCAGGTGGTCTTCCTTGGTCAAACCTGATTTTTCTTAATGCAGAATGAATCCACAGTCCCTCATTGCCTGTGCAAACAAAAGCAAAACCTCTTCTTCAAAGTAACATACCTTTTGACTTAAATTTTAAAGTCAAAGAATTTTTTTTTTTTTCGAGACAGGGTTTCTCTGTGGTTTTGGAGCCTGTCCTGGAACTAGCTCTTGTAGACCAGGCTGGTCTTGAACTCACAGAGATCCGCCTGCCTCTGCCTCCCGAGTGCTGGGATTAAAGGCGTGCGCCACCACCGCCAGGCTAAGAATTATATATATATATACATATATATATACACACACATACATACACATATATGTATATATTGGATTAATCCAGCAGCATTTATAATCAAATGTCTTTTAGCAGCTTTTGCTCCTCCCTCAGTCATCAAACAATTTAAAGACAACACAATAACATACAGTATCCAGACTCTCTGTGATTTTTCATCTTTATGTGGCTTTATTTTAACCTCTATTTCTTTTATTTTTAATTTTTGGCTTTTTTGAGACAGGGTTTCTCTGTATATTTTTGGCTGTCCTGGAATTCACTCTGTAGACCAGGTTGTCCTTGAACTCACAGAAATCTGTCTGCTTCTGCCTCCCAAGTGTTGGGATTAAAGGTGTGTGCCAATACACCCAACTCTTTTTTTCTTTTTTCTTTTAAGAATTTATCCTTTTTTTTTTCTCCAAAGCTTGAGTATGTTTTTAAACACACTATAAATTGTTTAGAGGCTTTTTTTTTTGGTCTGGAACTATATTCACTGTATCTTTAATTTGCTAATTAAAGATTAATTTGCTAATTAATTTGCTAATTAATTTGCTAATTAAAGACACGAGTCTTTAATTTGCTAAGTGATGTGGCTAGGATTAAAGCCATGTCTTTGATGGCTGGATCCAGCCCATTCCTTAGCTTTTTTTCTGACAGTCTAGCCTCATGGCAGAGGTACTGACTGGAGCCATGTTTATTGCCACATGTTGTTTCAAGGTCCCTGCCACCACCAAAAAGTTTGCAGTCAGCTTTTCATCAACAACATTTAAGTGTTTCGTGGCAGAACCTCTTAAAAGAACTGCAAGGTTTTGTAGCTAGAGCTGAGTCAGGAAGCCTCTCTTAAATGAGAGTGCTTGCCTCTAGCAAGAAGAGCCCACCCAAGAGAATGCTGCTATCAAGAAGCCATGCTTAACTCCAAGATGTGGGGGTGATTATTGCTGGGCTGGGTTGGGAGTAGGTGATGCTGGGATTATTTTGGGTAGAGATCAAGGGGGAAGGAGCAATGGAGGAAGGGAAGGAAGCAGAGGAGGTATGTATATATACATATTATATCAACATAATATTTATTATACTCCCTTAATTTCTTTCTTTGTGGGTTTTTTCTTCTGGGATCTCCCTGTGTAGCCCAGGCTGGCCATGAACTCACTCTGTAGTCAATGTTGATCTTGAACTCATTGTAATCTTCTGCCTCAGTCTCCCAAGTGCTGGGATTATAGGCACACCCACTATACCTGACTGAGTAGATTATTTTCATGAAAGGTGAAAAGGCCAAAGAGTGGTTCTCATTGGATAGTGGTAGCTGCTCTGGCAAGGAGTAGTTTTGTTGCTGTTAGGAATTGACTGGCCAGACTTTAAATCACACTAAGTGGGTCATTTTTCTTGTCAGAATATACACCATCAGGAAGTGAGCCTGAGCCAAGGGTGGTGGTACACACCGTAATCCCAGCACTTGAGAGGGGGAAGAAGTAGGAGCTGAAGGCCAGCCTCTGTTACATGACAAGTTTAAGGCCAACCTGAGCTATATGAGACTCTGCTTCAAAGAACTGGAAATAAAAAAAGAAGGAAATACATTTAAAAAGGAAAAAAGACAGACAAGATGGTGCTTATCTTTAATTCCAACACTTGTATTTGGGAGGCAGAGGCAGTTGGATGTCTGTGTGTTCCTGGAAAGCCAGGGCTACAAAGAGAGACCCTGTCTCAAAAGATGTAGGTTGTAAATAAGTAAAAATATCTTTTTTTATTTCACAGGAAAGACTGTTTAAAATTGATGAAATACCTTTTGGAACAGTTGAAAAAAGAGTATCAAGAACTAGAAGCATTCTGTTCTTACCACGTGAAAACTGCCATCTTTCACATGTGGACTGAGCACCCACAGGACAGAGAGTGGGACCCCAAGCACCTCAGCAGATGCTTTGATAACTTTTTGACGTTTTTTGTCGAATGCCTCAGGACAGAAAAACTGGTGCATTATTTTATTCCAAAGTTCAATCTATTCTCTCAAGAACTAATTGACCAAAAAAGTAAAGAATTTCTGATAGGGAAAATAGAATATGAAAGAAACAATGGATTTCCAATTTTTGATAAGTTTTGAGATTATGCATTTGTCTATGTGTTATAATGTGTTCTTGTGGGTGTGTGTTTAGAACAGAGGTTGATGCCAAATGTCTTCCTTGATCACACTTCACTTTTTTGAGACAGTCTGCCTCTGAACCCAGAGCTCATGGAGGTGTCCAGGATGATTAGCCCGTGAGCTCCCATGATTCACCTGTCTGTGTTTCCCCAGACCTGGGATCATAGATGGGCCTTACCTTTATAGCTTTTACATTGTTGCTGGGATCTGAACTCAGGTCATTATGCTTGCAAAGCAGGTACTGTATTCACTGAGCCATCTTCCTATCCTGAAATTGTATTTTGAGATGAAATTGGGTTAAAGTGCCTTAAGTCCATTGTGGTGGTGTATGCCTTTAGTCCCAGCACAAGAGAAGAAGAGGCAGAACAAAATACCTCAATGTGATCCTTGGCCTGGGCTACCTCAAACCTACTTAAAACAAAGTACAAAGGGAGTTGCAGAGATGGCTCAGTAGTGAAGATCACTTACTGCTCCTTCAGAGGACTTGGTTCTGAGCACCCAATGGCAGGTCATAACTGTCACTCCAATTCTAGGGAATCTAGTCTGACCACTGCAGGATCCTGCTTGCACCTGGTGCTCACACATAAACACACATACAAAATAAATATTTTTTAAAAGTAGAAAAACTAGAAAATGAAACTGTGAAATGATCCATGATATGTTAAGTGTGTTGGCACTTACTTATAATCCTGGCACTTGAGAAGCTGAGGTATGGGAGTTGCCACGAATGCAAGGCCAGCCTGGGTTACAGAATAAGATCTTGTCTCAAAAAACAAAACATCAAAAGCCAGCAGTAATCCCTGTGAGTCACCGTGAGGTTTGGCCTGAGTCTGCTCATCTATCCTGACTTAGAAAGGTACAATGGTTTTGTTTTTTTTTCTTTTGGGGGCTGGTCAGAACCTAAGGAGGCTTTCCTGGTATTTGTGCTTCCTTTCTCTTTCTCTTGAAGTTCCCCCAGCCCCTCCACACACACACACACACACACACACACACACACACACACACACACACCATAGACAAGGCTGCTTGTCTATCATGTGGCTCATAGTTTCTTTGAATGTAAAACAACCCCCCCCAAATGTGATTCTAATAACTCAAAAGTTTGCAGAAGTGACTGAAATGAATACAATTATTTAGTTCTCAGTTTTTCATATATTCACTCAAATATCAAGATTATAAAAAGTTAAGTGATGAAAATGAAAACCTTGCCATTTTGGAAAATATACATATCTCCCCAATTGAATGCATTAAGTATGTAATGAGTATCACTTCACACCTACAGCAGTGATACAGAAGTCTACAGAGGGTTGTGGGAGACAGTATCAGAAATGGTTGATTTAGGCTTTGTTCAAATACAGGAAATGGACATGGAAGCCGTGCCTGGTTCTGTCCTGTGTCCCAGGGTAGGAAAGGAAAGGAGAATTGACTTCTGCGTCATCTGTACTTCAGGTCCTTTACCATGTGCGCATATGTATGTAATTTATATTTTATTTATTTTTGTTTCATATGTGTTTCTATGAAATCAGTGGTACTCAGCGCAGAGAAATGGGTGTGGGACAGAGGCTGACTCACCAGGGTACTTAGTGCATGGATGGTCACAGGAGCCTCGTCCTCGTCTCTACAGTTGTTAGTTCCCTGTGTAACAAATCATGTCTACCATATATGTTCTCTTTACTTTTTGGTATCTTACAATAAATAAGATTTAAAAATTTTAAAGTAGTTGACTTTATCAGTCTTTGCGCCTTGCACTTAACAACCAGTAGGTTTGAATGTCATAAAAAAAGTGTCAGCGTGGGGAGGAAAGCTTTGACAACGGACAAGTAGAATGCCAGACCACCCCCAAATCAAGCTCTACTTAACATCTTCAAATGTATCCTTGTCCCCCAGTCTTGAAAAGAAAGGTACACAAAGCCCTGGATTCAGTTTCCAGCACTTAATATGATAAAAATAAAACCAGAGGCCTTGAACGTCAGCTCCCCTTGCTCCAGTCTCACCAGTATCTGGGATTCCATCCATATACTACCAGGCTGGGTTTGTACCGCTCTTTTGAGATCAACTCATGCTTAGATTTTGGAAAACTAGTTTCTTACTGCTCTGATGGCTTTTAAAGCACTTTAAGGAAAACTTTATTGAGATATCAAGTACCCAACACAATTGATCCATTTGAAGTGTACAGTTCCATGGTGAACCTGGTCTTCTGTAAAAACAGTAGTGTTCCCAGTCACTCAGTCATCTTTCCATTCCCAGCAAGTTCTCTTGACTATAGAGCCATCTTCTCAGCCCCAAATCATTGTCAGTTCACCTTCAATGTGATGGTTGCAGCTTGTTTGTTTTCTGTCACAAAAAGGGATAAAACCTAGGACCACATACATGCTGGTCCAGCACTTTACTCCCTCAAAAAGTGTTTTTCTTCTCTTTTTTCCTCTTTCTTGCTTTTTTGAGGCAGGGTTTCTCTTTATAGTCCTGGCTGTTCTGGAGCTCACTTTGTAGACCAGGCTGGCGTTGAACTCAGAGCCCCATGCCTCAGTTCTGGGATTAAATAATCTAGTGGTTATTGGGGCTCTGATTGTTCTCAGATCATCCCAGTACTTGGGTTCAGGTTCAGTAAGATCAAGTGATAGAAAGCTGCCCAGTGCCCAGACTGTACAGTTGTCACTCTTGTTTAAGGTATGGATTATACAGCTCATTTAAAAATGTAGCACACAATTAAAAATTAGATTAATAGTCATTTATAATAGTCAAATTTGTCATGTTAGTTTTTCTAGATATACAGAGATATTTTAGTTAGATAATCTTCAACACTTCAAAGACCTACAGAATATGGCATTTAAAAGATTTTAAGAACTTAAGACTTTTCCCAACAGTGAGACATGTCTGCTTCTGGCACCACCAATTACTTTAGAAAGGTTGATGGGCATTGAAGAAACCTGTTACGGAATTTGCCTTTAATGTGCCAAGACTAGCCATTTGGGCAAGAAATTGCTCCTGCCTGGACTGCTTAACAGTATGTTGTATTAACTGGATGTGCAGGACCCACAGAAAAGTAACTGCTGAACTTTCGAGAATGTGACTTCTTCACAGAAGAAACTGCCATTCTGCAGGACAGAGGAAAGCAACTGACAAACTTTGCCAGTATAAAGCAGAGAATAGCTTTTCAAATTTCCTGCTTCATTGAAATGTCTGACAAGCTGGGCAGTGGTGGTGAACGCCTTTAATCCCAGCACTCGGGAGGCTGAAGCAGGCAGATCTCTGAGTTCGAGACCAGCCTGGTCTATAAGAGCTAGTTCCAGGACAGGCTCCAAAGCTACAGAGAAACCCTGCCAGATACTCTGGGCCTATAAATATGGATGCCCCAATGTTACAGATGAACTTTGGGTGACTGTTCAGGAGAAATTTGGAAGTTGCTTACAATGCACTTCCTGTTTACTTACATAATATTATCCTTCTGGCGTCTTTGATGGAGTTGAAGACTAGATAGTTTTAATTATAGTTTTCCTTAGTTATGGTAAAAGATAAATTAGATATGAATCTTTAGACTCAAAGAAATATTTTAACTAATTCTTGCTTGATACCAACTTTGTTGTAATTTTACTGTGTTAAAAGTCAAAACCTCCCTTTTTATTTAGACAGAAAAGGGGAAATGATGAGGGATTCCCCTCTGTGTGCTATGAATGTTTTATTACCAGTGGTTAATAAAGAAGCTGTTTTGGCCTCTGGCAGGGCAGAATATAGGTAGGGGAAAAACTAAACTGAATACAGAGAGAAAGAAGGTGTAGTCAGGTTGATGCCATGTAGCGGCCGAAGGAGAAAGATGCCAGAACCTTACCAGTAAGCCACACACTCGTGGTGATACACAGATTAATAGAAATGGGTTAATTAAAGGTGTAAGAGCTATCTAGAAATATTCCTGAGTCATCAGCCAAACCGTGTTGTATTTAATATAGTTTGTGTGATTATTCGGGTCTGGGTGGTTGGGAAACAAAGAGCAGTCTCCTTTTACAGATATGATGCGCAGGAACAACACGCATTTGGTTCAGTACTATCCAGTTCCAGGCATCTTCTGCAGGGCTTCGAATGCAGTCTCCTCAAATAAGGGACTGTTTGTAACATTTCAAAGGGTACCTAAAGAAGGACGACATTTAAAATGACGGGTATGTGAGTGGTGGTACATGCATGTAATGTCAGCACTCAGGAGGTGAAGGCAGGAGGATCAACAGTTGATAGTCATCTTAGGCTACACAGCAAGTTCAAGGCAGGCCTAGGACACATGGTACCCTGTCTTGAAAACCTCAGATTTACCTGATACCTGTGTGTTTTTCTGAAGATCCAGCTGTTGATTTCTGATGGTTTCCTTGCTCCTATCAGGCTCTATTATTAATCTTGCCACAAAATCTCAGCAAACACTGGATGAATAATGTAGATGTGAGGATGGCCTAACACCATCATACATAACACACAAATATACAGACACAGATTAGAGCTACAATAACCCTACGGTGGAACAGAATGAGACTGAAGAAACGTTGATGCAAACGCAGTCTGATTTTCCCAGGATGTCCGCCTAAGTTTATGGGTTGAAATGTAATGATGGACAAATGGCTCACCTTTTCTCTGTTAATTGTTTCACACTTCCAGAAGGGGATCTGTGCTTTTCTGAACAGAGTACATCCAGATAACTGTTTGTATAATATGAAACTAAAATACCACCCGGAAAGAAAAAAGTCAACTTTTTTTTTATTGCAAAAATCCACAAGTTTGTTCACAACATCTTTTCAGTGCATGATAACATCTGAGCAAGCACCAGACTCTTCACAGATGCTGGTGCAGCAACATTACAGGTGATAATTGTCTTCTTGTTTTTGTCTTCTGCAGACCTGAGGGTTGAACCTTTGATCTTGTACATGCTAGGCAGGCACCCTACCACTGAGCTACATCTTCAGCCCCAAAAGTTCTCTTTTTAAATTAAAAATATAAATAAAATCTTTTAGTACTACCTTAATGACAATGAAAAAAAGTTAAACAAGGTTAAAAACTATTGCTTTTTATTAAAGAAAGTATAAAACATTGAATTCCACATTTATAAACACTATTATTTTTAAGAATCAGCCAATTCTCTTCACATTGATGTACGTTTGAACAATTCCACTTTGAATAAAATCTTGAATCCTGAAAAACAAGCAGGGGGAAAACGTTACTATTTACAAATTTCTTTTGTTGTTGTTGTTTGTTTTGCTTTTTTGAGACATGGTTTCTCTGTATAGCCCTGACTGTTCGGGAGCTTGCTCTGTAGACCAGACTGGCCTCGGAGATCTGCCTGCCTCCTACATCCCAAATGCTTATAAAGGCGTGTACCACCACTGCTCAGCTCAAAATTCTTTCCAGTTTTTAAAAGGGCAGTGTGATTACATCATATCAAATATATATCCTGTGTAGTTCAGTGCTGATAACTATATTCACGGTTGTGCAATTTCTATAGTCTTCAACTTACAAAATTCAAACTCTACATCCATTAAACAGTATCGTCCACTTTGCTTACCTTACTCCCACTCATCCTCGAAAGCATTATTTTGTTCCCATGATTTTTCTTCTTTGAGACAGGGTTTCAATAAGCTCAGGCTACCCTAGAACTGCTGATCCTGCTGTCTTCACTGGAATTTGATTATTTTACATGCCTCATACTAGATTCATATATAGTATTTGGAGTTTTTTTTGTAACTTTTTCATTTAAAGCATAATAGCCTCAAGATTCACTCTGACTGCAGCAGGCCACAAGCCCTTCACGGCTGCCTGTCCCACTGTTATGGACGGGATGCACCTGTATTAACTTATTCTTGGACCTTTGGGTTGTGTGGTTGGAAATTTATCTGGGCTGCCAACCAGCTCCTAAATAAAGACACAGATTTATTATTAATTATGAATGCTCGGCCTTAGTTTAGGCTTATCCCACTAGCTCTTTTAACTTAATTTACCCTGTTTCTATTCATCCATGTTTGCCTCAGGGATTTTTACCTTTCTTTATTCTGTATGTTATACTTTCCTGCTCTGGTTTCTCCTTTTCATTCCTGCCTAGATTCTTCCTCCTACTTACCCTCCCTGCTCAGAAGTACCGCCTATGCCTCCTCCCTCCCTATTGTTCAGCTTTTTATTAGACCAATCAGGTGCCTTAGGCAGGCAAAAGAGCAATACTATCTTTACATAATTAAACTAAACAAATGCGACACATCTTTACATAGTTAAGCAAATATTTTGCAACATAAACAAATGCAACACTAGTTTACATAGTTAAACAAATTAACACATCTTTGAATACTTAAAAAAATATTCCACAACAGGATTCCTTCTAAGAGAGTAGTGCTGTTTTTTAAGTATATGCTCTGAAATAAGGGCATACATTTCTGAGGTCCTGCTTCCTATTCATTTTGAATATATAACCAGAAGCAGACTGGTGACATCAGATAATTGCTAAGGAACACTATGGTGTTTTCCACAGGAGACAAATCAACTTACAACCTCACCTGCAGTGAACAAGGCGTCCAAATTTTTCACGTGCTTGCCAAAACCTGATACTTTTTGACAGTTATTTGATAAATATATAAATTACTTCTGGGCTGCATATTCTGTTATGTACCTGTAACCCCCTAGCACTCAGAAAGCTAAGGTAGAAATGCAGAAAGGTTGCAGGTGTGAGGCCAGCCTGGGTGGCATATGTC